GACTTAAAAAAAATACTATTTCCACATTATTTGTGAACAAACGGCTTTTATGACAATTGTTAGAAAGAAAATGATTACTGCCATAAATAATGCAACTAACCTTAACTAAATCTCTGATTTACTATACTTTCTTCATTTACATTCCCCACAATCCCAGCATTTTATCAACTTTATGTTTCAGCAAAAATTCTGGTAACATTTGACACTGCTTTATGTTTACTTCCATCTCAAAAAAACCTATCAAAGGAAACTTTTTCCTTTTGAAGTATTGAAGAGTTTTCTATCTTCTCTTGCTAATTTCTTTATCTGCTATTAAAGACTTGTGTTTCTAAAGATGAGGCTACTACAATTCTTCCAATCTCTTCTATTTATAATTTAGTGTTCAAACTTTTGAATTAAGGGAAGCTGTATTTGACAGCTGCTGATTAAGAAATCAGAATTCTGGGGGCTGGCCCGGTGGCACAGTGGTTAAGTTCGCATGCTCTGCTTCAGTGGCCTGGGGTTCGTGGGTTCGTAGGGCAGACCTACACCACGCATCAAGCCATGCTGTGATGGCGACCCACATACAGAATAGAGGAAGATGGGCACAGATGGTAGCTCAGGGACAATCTTCCTCACCAAAAAAAAAAGAAAGAAAGAAATTACACTTCCGTAATTATCAAAAACAATTTACCTTGATCTGTCATAGTATTCTTTTTAAAAGTCAGTTTCATTGGCTACTGGGAAGAATTAAAGAATTTATTGCTGGTATGTTTCTTAAAATACAAAGTGCAAACAATTTACTTGATACAGAATCAAGGACATATTTTCCTATTCACAATAAACCACAGAAGGCAGATTTAAAGGATAATGGCTATTATGAAAACCTACTTTGAAGCTGTCTGTTAAAAAAAGAGCTCAAAGTAAGACAAATTTTCTATTTCAGTAGCTCCTCAAATTTGAGAGTCTGGCCAAAGTTTACTTCAGTAAAAACTGTTTATTCACCAAGTATTTCACTATGAGTGGCTAGAATCAAAGTGTAGTCAATAGTTTGAAAAAAATAAAACCTTCTATCTTCAATACAGCTATAAGAATTCTTTAAATTTTTAAAATTATATTCTTCTCAATAAACATTTTTACCCACAAAATAAAGATATACACAGTAACTAGAATCAACAAAGACTACAATTTCAAGTTCTAAAAAAATAACTCTCCCTCATCCTCCCCGACTTCCACCTCTAAGAAGCAAAAGAACAGGGCATGTGTGTTTACTCAATCACTTCATACAACTTGGAGAGCAGTCTCCACAAGATTTACACTAGCCTGCTCCCTTCACCTACAAGAACAGCAAACAAGAGTAAAAAAGACAGGTGATCAAACAAGGTCATGGTCATTAAGTTTGCTTTAAAATTAACCAAGAAAACTGGTTACTTGTTTATTTTGTTACAACAACAATCAAAATTCTCCATCGATCACTCTTTTAATTGTCAAGATTAAGTTGCAGTTGGACCCAATATATTATATTCATCATTTAGAAAAAAAATAACCAGTCTGCCTACTCCATTTCCTTAACAAGGTAATGAAGAAATTAATGCTCATTGCAATACAGAATCTTAGCTTTTTTATTTGTAGAAAAAATGGACAAATTTCTCTCATCAAGATGTCACAAGAAATTAGGTAATAAAAGGGAAATATGGGAGTCCTAAAGTCATCTAGTGCTTTCCTCATAATTCCAAACAGAAAACAATAGTGAAAAAGTGTTCTCCGGTTTTGAAATCTCTCTATGTAACACAGAGATGCAATAAAACTGCAGATTTTGCTCATCTCACTTACAAGTTTAATGTTCTAATCAAGTCCTTCCTCTAGGGAAACTCATGTGATCAATTACTGAATTTAATTACACAATTCCACTTCAACTAGTCTAAAGCCATCCTAGAAGCAGAATTCCCCTTGTTCCTACAGGACCGTAGTAGCTAGTCTAGTATTCAGAATCACCACCATCCTTTACACCACAGTGCCTTCCCAGTCGCTTCTGTCGCCGTGGCCTGAAACAACGTATGATCGTAAACGATACATCTCAGTAGATATCTACAAAGACTAATCAAAAAGTCTCTTTAAGAATAAAATATCTTAGCCCTTTGTATATTAAATCAGAATCTGAAAGGTAAAGAATGTACATTATTTTCAAATATACCAACTACGTGCTCAAGTAAAAAACATAAACTGTCCTTTCATTCACGCCGCAGCTCCATCCGTGATGCTGTCAGCGGGAGGTGTGCTAGCAGACGGGGCGACGCCGTCAGCGGGACGTGTGCTAGGCGACGCCGTCAGCGGGACGTGCGCTAGCAGACGGGGCCTCCTCGCTGAAGGTCACTCCTGTCTGTTTCTACAACAAAGAAACAAAAGCCAACATTAGGTGAGTCGGTTGCCATATTCCAAACTTCAATTATGTAAACACTGTTACTCATTTGGAGACTGTAATTCAAGAAACAAATTACAAAAAATTTTAAATAAAACTTACATGTAAAAATAGCAACCCATTCCAGAGAGACAGTCAAGAAAAGTATAGAAACATCTTCCTCACGTACAGTATGAGGTTTTCTAGTAGCAGCCTAATCAACAGTACTGATCAGCACGGTGCTACAAAAAAAGATGCACTCTGAGTTGGTGGTATTTGAGTATGGTTTCAAAAGCAAAACAAGTAGCTCTAGTGACAGTGACGATGGTGTCACGTCTCATGAAAACAACAGCTTGCATTTATTGGGCAATATATATACCGACCCTAAGAGAGACTAGTATGTTATTATCCCCACTTTACAGATGAGGAAACTGAGGCACAGAGAGGTTAAAGTATCTTGGAAAAGGAATTGGTATTTGAATCCAGACAGTCTTGTTGACTGAAATAAAGAGTGGAGGTGATATTAGTGAAGGAGGTTATTCAATAATCAGCGTGAGGAGTTCAAACCCCGGGAAAACAGTTCTGCAGAGTGCTTTGATGGAAATGCTCTGAGGTGTGTAAGTGCAGCTTACATCTCTTTCACAAAACAGTGTATGTGCAGGGAAGACGAAAAGAAAAAAACTTACAAGTAGAGTTCAAAAAAAGGGATAGAGTACACCTGGGCTTTCTCTAGATTATACATTGAGGGTAACATAAACAAGAATTTCTTGGTTATACATCAAACAAGTTCAGAGATGTTGGCGTTGTCTGTGTGTGGAGCGAGGCAAGGACCAGGGTCATTAATCATTCCCTCAATCTCTAAGAAATGCAGCTGGGAAATGTGAGAGCGGGGTTCCCCTTTATCTCTTCCTGTTGTGGATCTGTCCAGCCGGTGTCTCTAGTCAGGAGGTGTGGGTTTCAAGGTCATTTTGACACAGGCTGACGATGGCCTGCACGGCTGCTTCACAGGACAGCAGGGATTTTATTGTACTGACTTAAAGCCTACTCAGTTTGCTTGCTCGATTCGAATTTTATACCAAGGAGAGGGGTCCCAAAAATCTGCCCACAGTCTGATACTACCAGGAAGAGGAGTAAAACATAATTTCAGCACGAAACATTTCTTACAGTAATAGAATACTTCTTTCTTTTATTTTTTTTTAAAGATTTTATTTATTTATTTTCCTCCCAAAGCCCCAGTAGATAGTTGTATGTCATAGCTGCACATCCTTCTAGTTGCTGTATGTGGGACGCGGCCTCAGCATGGCCGGAGAAGCGGTGCGTCGGTGCGCGCCTGGGATCCGAACCCGGCCCGCCAGCAGCGGAGCGCACGCACTTAACCGCTAAGCCACGGGGCCGGCCCAGAATACTTCTTTAAATAAAGGAAAACCAAGTACTTGGAACTCACCTACAAGGAGAGCTAAGGAAAAGGTCCACTGGACCACAGACGGGGCACTCCCCAGGGAGGCATGTGACCAGCGAGTGGTCTCCATTCAGTTTCCACACTCATCTCCTAGTTGCCTCTGAGAGTCTAGTCAATGTTTTCTCAACTGTAAGTGAAGCTACACTCTATTCTGAAGTACTAATATCTGCTAAAAAGAACTGACTTTTCCAATTTAATATTTTGCAAATTACACTGTTACAATCATAAGGTAGAAAGAACATTAACATATAAATTACCTGTCGATTTACTGGTGAACAAATACTTGGAAATTTAAAAAAAGGACAAAGAGAATGTAGAAAGCAACCAAAGAAAACGCAAGTGGGGGAAGGAGCCAGCTGCTTCAGAATGTGTGTGACAGTTTGTTGTTTTGTAACCTACACTTTTTCCCCCTTTATTTCTATCCACTATTTCAAATTATATTATCTTAGTTCTAAGAGGGCATTTGAGGAGAGGGACTGACAAATTAATGCGGTACAGGTTAATAAGAATGCAGAAAAAGCTGGAGACCGCTTTTGAAGGATGTTCAGTCAGGATAAGAGTTTCATCTGTCTTTAAATATCTCAAGGGTGGTCAACCACCAGAGAAAGCACATTTTGTTTCCTTTCTGGAGACTGAAGGCAATGGCAACAATTACACCTGTAGCACTCTGGCTCAATACAACGGAATTCCTAAAAACAAGAGCCATTCAACAGAATGTGCTGCCTCATAAAGTGGTTTAGTCCCAGCAGGAGGCCGGGAGCTGGTTAGGAAAACGGCTACAACAGATCAACCTTTCAGCTTTCTAATTCCCTGAAATCAGTCTCCCTTTTTCTTCCACACTACAGTCTCTCTTCCTCTCATCCGACTTAAAGATGTCTATCTATCTTTTCCTCACAGATCCTAAATATTAAAAAAAAAAAAAAAAAAAAGACAAATTGATGCAGTTTGAATATTACTGATTTGGAAAAATATGCTTCCTCTTCCAGGATGGCAAAATTCAAAATTGGAAGCATCAATTCTTCCCAGCTAAAATAATCTGTAAGTTAATTATAATAAAAATTACTCTATGTGTATATATATAATCAATTACAATAAAAATTCTCATGGGATTTCTTTGACTTGGCAAAATGTAAAATGACATCATTTTGTTTTATCAACTGCAAGCTACTTACCTAGTAAGGCTGTGTTTTCACTTGCATCTTCTTTAAAACCGGCACTGCACTGCGGCACGGATTCGTTAGTGGAAGATGATGGTAAGGTGCTCCCTTCACTTCTGGCATCATCTTGTAAAGTAATACTCAAATTTGCAGCCAAAACACTTCCAGGGGTCGATTCTGGAGCAGGCGTCTCCTGCTCGTCCTCAAGCTCTCCCTTGAGAGTTAGAACAAAAGAAAATGTCTTTTCTAAGTAACACGATCAAAGTTCACCTATCATCTTTTGCTCATGATTCATACAAAATATTTTTTATACATGGAATATGGCAAAAAGCACATCCATGTGTTTTTTATTTACCATTATTAGAATATGAATTACTTCTCCATAAGCAGCTTTTCAAGACCTAAATGCTTTTTTTCTCTAAAATCTATTTTTCCCCTTGATACAAGCAATGCCACCTTTTAAACTACTTATTGACGGAAAGTGAAGCTTTGTCAACAAACGCACTTTCCTGCTGTCTTCAACAGAAAGTGTGATAATCAGTCTGTCTGCTGGTCCCGTATGGCCATAACTGTGAGCTGGAATTACAGCCTCTAACTGCTGTACCGTTTACGGTGAGACATAGGGTGTCGGAGATGAACAAGCTTTCTGAAGAACAGAGCTTCAGACTATATTTTGGTTCACTTAAAAACAAGACTTCTGGCTCCTTCCTTATAGACAGGGTGTCTGTCCATCATCTGTCAGTTTGCCTCCAACTTCCCCCATCTGCTGCTTAAAAGAAGAAAATAAGATCATGGAAGTGAGGGCTGAGACTATATAACCATTACTACATTAAGTCTCAAAATTTGGGGGCTATCCAGAAAACTTTTTTGATTAATCCCAGAGTCAAAGCTGTGTTGGGACCAGATGCAACTGCTGGTCGAGTGACCGAGGAAATGAGGGTTACTGGGGGTTCACCGTGACCCACCTTCACTTCAAGTGAAAACATCGAGGTCATTCCGCCTCCCCTCCTCTGGGCTCTCAGGGCCAAGGACACTGCCGGCTCCATTAGTGTTCTAGAACCCTCCTCCCCACTCCCGAATATCATGTGGTACACTGCCGACTTCTCATCGGTAACTAAACACCCTCAGGACATGACTCCTGACACACCAAGCAACAAACCCTGCCGAGCTGCCATAACGTCCACATTTCCACTCAGCCCACCCCAATCTGTTTTTCCAGGTATTTATCGAACTACCTGCCAGTATCAAACCCCACAGGTTCACACCCCTGTGGACATGTCGTCAATCTGCAGTATGCTAATCTGCCAGACAAATACTCTAACACCCAGCTCAGACGCCCCTCTAAAAACCACTCCCTTTACCTTCCCATTTCCAGCTGGCAGTCAATTCCTCCTTCCTGTGTTCCCACGGCATTCCAAACACACCTCTGGGCCATGCTGTTTGGGTGTATGCCCTGACCCTTGACCAGTCCAGAGAGTGGAATCCCCAAGAGCCCATGAGCGGAAGGGCTGTGTCTTATTCCTCTTTGTCTCCCCAGAGCCAAGTTCACATCTAGCACCTAAGATAGCACTCCTTTGATAAAATTGCCAAATGAATGAAGACAACATTCATGCGATGTGAGTATGGCACATTAAAGTGCTTACAGCTGCAAAGCAAGCACCACCCTTGAAGTCTGTGTGGCGAGTGCTGGCAGCTCTCTCACTGTGCTCACTTTCTTGGAATTAAGAGTGTGCCATAACTATCTATAAAATCCAATGCAGGAGAGGCCAATGGGTCTAAAGAAAATGGTACACTTGTCAGAAGATAAAACAGAATTAAAGGCAAGACAAGTCGGGCCGGCCCCGTGGCTTAGCAGTTAAGTGTGCGCATTCCGCTACTGGCGGCCCGGGTGCGGATCCCAGGCGCGCACCAACGCACCACTTCTCCGGCCACGCTGAAGCCTCATCCCACATACAGCAACTAGAAGGATGTGCAGCTATGACATACAACTATCCATTGGGGCTTTGGGGGGGAAAAAAAGGAGGATTGGCAATAGATGTTAGCTCAGAGCCGGTCTTCCTCAGCAAAAAGAGGAGGATTAGCATGGATGTTAGCTCAGGGCTGATCTTCCTCACAAAAAAAAAAAAATGGCAAGACAAGTTAATTTCTTAGTTTGATTTAAAATTACTGTAGGTTTCTGTTCTTTAAAAAGGAAAGTAAGCTTTATGGGGATACATAATCTATCTTTGTGAAATTAACATTCTAAGAAAGCAATCCAACCTTACATAAAATGAAGAATCTTGATTTTTGATATATGAAATATTTATGTAGATACATTTCCAAAAACAAAACTCATGAGGATTAAAGTCGCAATGCTAAGGTCAGTGAAATTCCTTATATAGAAATTTACAGAAAGAAAAGCAGGTTTAAAAATTACTGACTAATAAAGAAAATAACTTAAAGTGAGCTTCAGAGTATGTCTAAGGAAGGAAAAGAGGAAGAAGGAAAATTTTGCCAAGAAAACGACCGTCAGGGCCGGCCCTGTGGCTTGGTGGTTAAGTGCGCGTGCTGCAATGCTGGTGGCCCGGGTTCGGATCCCGGGTGCGCATCGAGGCACCACTTCTCCGTCCATCCTGGGGCCGGGTCCCACATACAGCAACTGGAAGGATGTGCAGCTATGACATACAACTATCTACTGGGGCTTTGGGGGGAAAAAAAAAAAAAAAAAAAATCTTTAAAAAAAAAAAAAAAAGAAAACGACCGTCAAGGTCCCTGTATCTGTTGTCTAAAATGCTGTCCCAGGAAGCAGCTTCTTGTCTGGGGTACAGGCACCGGGGCAGAGAGGGGATGAGCCAAGCTCACTAAAAAGCACATTATGGCATGCTAAAGAAAGCCATCATTATTAAAAACTGTGAATAAATGAATGTTAGAAATTCTAGAGGAAAGACAAATTTTCTAGACATGAAAGTGGATGAGTTTTCAGTAAGACAGTTCTTGAATGCCGAACTTCTCCCTTCCTGTACCTATGGTGAGGGCATTCCAGAACTCACACTGGAAAAATGTGATTCACAGGAAATAACAGTGGCTATTAAGGCGGTGGTCTCTCAACTATGCTAAGCTAGAAGGTGAGAGGACACTGGAAGCAGACCCGCAGTCTTGAGGGCTGTTATGGCTTTAAGTCACATAAAATGATGATCACAGAAAACCTCTTTGTAGTTTCTAACTCTACAATAAATGCTACAAAAAAACTCTAAAAATATGTTTAGCAACAAGAAAAATATATCTGATATTTGAATTACTTCTTTCAAGGATCCTTATTTCAAAACTATTTACTATTTAATCAAGAATATTTTGAGACATTAATAGATTATATGAAGACTCTAAAAACAATATAAAATTTAACAATCTAGGAAAAAAATCTGTTTTTCCCTCTCTCTGGCCCCTCCTTTTGGGTAGGATAGTAGTTAAGAGCTTGGACCCTGGAATTAAGCAAAGTTGTATCTGAAAGCTGATTCTCCATTAACTAACTAGCTGTGTCACCTTAGACAAGCTACTCAGCTTCTCTAAGCTCGAGTTTCTAACTAGTAACATAGGAAGAGGAACAGTGCTTAACCTCACCGAGCGGCCGCATTAAATGTAATGACATAGGTATGGCAGTTAGCACATGGCTACTTACTCTTACGCGTTCTCTTTCACTTTGTCCTCATGTCTCTGTTTTCTGAGGGAGGCCCTATGACCATCTAAGTATCACAAACTGATGGACAAATTCCACGCAGGACAGATTTCCCAGCAGTATTTGACTGTGAAGGCCAGGAATCGGGAGAATGGGTGTCAAGAAGCGTTGGCTTCGGTTTCCTCATATGTAAAATGTGCACCTTGAGCCAGAAAATGTATGAGGCTCCTTCCATTTCAAACATTTTATAATTCTTGTTTATAGGAAACTGACAAGCATAGATACACTCTGCAGTGTAGTGTACCAAAATACACTGCTCTTAGTAATTACACACTCTCTGGGGAAACATTCAGCATATTATTCTACAATCACAAATTCAGTTCATTAATTTTTTGGAATGTCTTAAGAATTCATTTTTAATAAAGAGGAAAACTTCTTCAGAGAACCACAGGATAGTATAAGGAGCATTTGGTCCATTCCTCTTGCCTCTGGTCAGTAACGAAATCCAACCACTCAGAAGAAGCGGGGCAGAGATCGAATATAAACAAAAATGCAACAAACCCAATATCCCAGGGCTTTGATGACATCAAGTTTACACATTGGACACGTGCGGTGATCCAAAAGCCATGGGTCAATGCATATTCTATGAAAAATATGCCTAAAAAAATTAAGTATGTGTTAATGTTTTAAAATAAATGTTTATACCTTATAAAGGAAACAACACATTCCACCAACTCATCTTCTCATTACAAGTTAAATGATGTCAAATCAACATTCTAGTCTACTCACTTACCCTAGGTAATTATCTATTCTATTTTCCATGTTAAACAGAATCTGGCATTTATAGGGAAATTTTCCCTTCACCCCACAAAAACAGCATCGTTTGTTTTCACCTCATGCTAGGCTGTATTTTTATGTGCCTCTCTAAGTTACCTGAAAGCCTTTTGGGAATAAATGTGGCATAAGTAAACTAATAGTAATGAACTAATACCTGACAGTGTCTTATATAAGTCTATAAAATGACTCCAATAGAAATACAGTAAAATAGTAACAAATCATCTCTCGGTTGTAGGCTTTAAAAACACTTATTTTCTGTCATATATTTTTGTATACTCTGTATTTTTCTATAATGAACACCTATCACTTTGAGAATCAAAAAAGGAAAAATCGCCTATGTATTTTCTTCTTTCACTGATTTGTCTAGTCAGCTAGCTTTTCCTCCTCGGTGGTGAATCTATGTTTGTGAACCAGTTCTCTACCCTCGCTGCACCTGCACCACAGGCTGTTCTGAGGAGGAAACGTGTAGTGTGCTCACCACAGTGCTGGGCTCAGTGAACACTCAGTCACTGTTTGTCATTACGGATGTTGTTGTTTGCAGACCTTCTCTTCAAACAGAAATCTGCTTGATGCAGTTAAAAATAACACAATTACATAACATAGTCTAGCCCAGCTTGTCTTTTGACCTTTCCATCCTCAAACTGAATCTGAAGCCGACTGACCCACAGGAATAACTTTCACAAAAACACAAAAGAAACATCTTGGCTTTACTGAGAAATATGTTAAATAAAGCACAGGAGAAAATGGCGGGAAAAATAAAAACCCCAATAAGGAGACCAGGAAATGTGCAGATGTAACACGTCTGCTTATACAAAACCCAGGTTGGCCATCAGCATGTATCTGGTGCCATAGAAGGAAATTAGCCTCGGGCTGCTCATTTGTGCAACATCCTAAGTCAGAAAACTTGCCCTGAACTGGCCTGGAGTAAAAATTCTTTTCTATTTTAATAATTTTCTACAGGACATGATCACCTGATACTGACCCCAATTCACTGAGTACCCACCACACCAACCCATATAAATGCCTGTAGATTTAAATTAGCTATCTTTATTCAGAAAACTTTATTTTGTTATTCTGATACTCCTTCCTTCATTTCCTCCACAGAATTATTGAGAACGTAATCTGCTATACAGTACTGGTATATGTACAAAAGTACTTTGCAAACATAAAGCAAAACATAATTATATACTAGCTTGTGACCTGCTTCTAATAGGTGGGAAGTATAATTAAAATCAATCAGACTTAAAACATATTATAATTTTTATACAGCTTTCTGCTAACAAAGCAATTCTTTTAAAAAGTTATTAAAGTATCCCATTATTAAAAAGGAAACATAACTTCCTGTTGGTTAAAAAAAAAAAAAAAGCAAAAGCCCTAGCGTACCCAGCGTAAAGAGAGGAATATTTATTTTACACAACCCCAAAAAGAACCCAAACCCAGGGTGCAAATAATACTGAACCACTGCCTGCCTTGTCCCACTTTCTTCTGGCCTCTCCCCTGGGTCCTTCACCCATCGTGGTTCAGTTTCCTTTCTCCCAACACAGCATACTTTAGGCATTGCTGAATGTATAATGGAATTCCCAAAGAAGCCTTGCTTATAAGACTAAAGGCCAATCTATGACAAAGGTATATAATGGGTCTTAATGGTCACCTAAAGTCTCCTAAACAAAGCAATTTTAAAGTAAAACAATACAGGAGGAGCCTTGAAGACTTGAAACTTCTTTTCTAAAAGAAGAGATGATCACAAGATCATCACACGATAGCAACACCTTCATATTATAAAAGACACGTTACTCTTTTGTCAGAAACCTGCAACTTGTTCAGTAATTTTTAACATCTCAGGAGGTAAAAGGAACATACTTGCATGGCAGAATTCTGATGATATCCTTTACTTTAAAATTTTCAATACACACTGCACAATTTTCAGCATCAACATCGATTCCCTGTAAAAAGAAGAGGAAAGAGTTTACTAAAGCCTTGGTAAATAGTATATTCTTGGTAAAACTCACAACAACCTGGGTAAAGCAATGATGAATTCTACTCTACACTGGCATAACCTGAAATTAAAGACAGATAATTTCTACTCAGTATTTACTTTTTACCATTATCAAGAGATTCTTTCAAGAATCTGGCTGAAAAGGAAAAAAATTCATAGTCTACCAAATCAGACATGAATAGTGTTTAAATACTTGGCTAGGTTTATCGTGTTTTTCTTTGAGGAAGACTGGCACTGAGCTAACATCTGTTGCCAATCTTCCTCCTTTTTTCCCTTTTTCTCCCCAAAGCCCCAGTAGATAGTTGTATGTCACAGTTGCACACTCTTCTAGTTCTTCTATGTGGGACACCACCTCAGCATGGCTTGATGAGCAAGTGCGTAGGTCCGTGCCTAGGATCCGAACTGGTGAACCCCGGGCTGTCGAAGCGGAGTGTGCGAACCCAACCGCTACGCCACGGGGCCGGCCCTCTCACTGTTTTTTCAACTTAACAAAGGTAAAAAGACACAAAAATTGCTAGGGAGGAAGCAGGCTTGTGACAAAATTTCCACTTCTAAGAATCTATGGGCCATAAACCTTTTCGGTGGTGTTAGACCTCCCCCGACTTCCTTGGCTACCCTCTGGATCTACCCACCTGGCCTCCTCTCATCAACCAGAGCAGGTGGGCCAGTGTGGTCATGTGACCCAAGACAGGCCAATGAGACTCTCAGGGTTCTGGGAAGGGGATTTGGCAACTACCAATCAGAGTCTGCGTGCAGCTTGTGCAGGTTCATTTTATGGAACACGGCTACACTGTCCTTACGTAATCATTTAAAAATATATTTAGGGGCTGGCCCGGTGGCTCAAGCGGTTAAGTGCTCGAGCTCCACTTCAGCAGCCCAGGGTTCTCAGGTTCGGATCCCGGCGTGCACCGATGCACCACTTGTCATGCCATGCTGTGGCGGCATCCCATATAAAGTAGAGGAAGATGGGCACAGATGTTAACTCAAGGCCAATCTTCCTCAGCAAAAAAAAGAGGAGGATCAGCATCGGATGTTAGCTCAGGGCTGATCTTCCTCACATACACAAAATATATATATATGTACATATATATTTAGCCATGTTAACAAGCAAGCATTAAAAATTGATTTTATATGTAGATATTGTTAGCAAACATTGCATTAAAATTAATTTTATAACATTTAAAATTATATATTGCAACTAAAGTAAATATTATCACTTATTTATCATATGCCATGCAAGAATGATGAAATAATTTTTAAAGTTCCTAATAGTTTGCAAGCTTATGCCTTACTGTGAATGAGTCCACAAGAGAAGGAAAATTAGAAAACAAACACCAGTCTCCAGGACTGGACAAGACGTAGATGCAAGAAAAACACATTTTTCTGTACAAGTTTAAAATGTAAAATCATCAGAAAATCCATGTATATACCTCATGGACCCATTTACGGATCCTTTTTTTAAAACCATTATGGTGACAACTTTCAAAAAACAGTCCTTGGAAGCATATTTGCAAAAACATTCTTTTTTTTTTGTGAGGAGATCACCCCTGTGCTAACATCTGCCAATCCTCCTCTTTTTTTTTTTGTTTTTTTGCTGAGGAAGACTGGCCCTGGGCTAAGCATGCCCATCGTCCTCCACTTTATATGGGACGCCGCCACAGCATGGCTTGACAAGCAGTGCATTAGCGTGCGCCTGGGATCCGAACCAGCAAACCCCGGGCCGCTGCAGTGGAGCGCGCTCACTTAACTGCTTGCACCACTGGGCCGGCACCTGCAAAAACGTTCTGTACAGGAAGAGGATAATATCAATTTGCTTCTGTTCTCAAAGACCCGATTCAGTAAATTATACATATGAATCTATGTCTTCTCATATTTAAGGACTGAGATTCCCTGCTACTGGAGAGTAGAAGACATGTTCCAAGGGGAGCATAAGACTACATGCTTGTCCAATCGCTGGTTCGCCAAACGCACGTGGAGTTTAGCACAGGCATCCCTGGAGACTCTCCCCAAGGACGCTTGTGGGTTGTAAATCAGATGCCAATCTTAATCTTCAAATGAGATGGGAATTTTTCTTTTACTTTTTCTGTTCAATATATCCACATGGAAAGAAACCTTGTACCTTGTGCAAACTATTAAAATTCAACTGTTACTACACGGTAAAAGGCATTAGGGAAGGAATGGCAGCCAACAGTACAAGTCCAAGAGTATCTTAATATTAAATATATCACATAAACCATCAATATCAGATTTCAAAGTTTTAAAGTCAAAGGTCTATAATTTACTGAGTGTTATTTTCTATTTAATCCTTTAAGTAGGTTGGAGGAAGAGAGATGTACCACAAGTGCAGCTACTCTTTTCTTTGGAAGGTGGAGTGGAGACTAGAGGGCAGAACAGATTAAGTTTCAACAACTTAGTGAGATCACATGAAAATCAAAACAACTGAACCAACCCACAACTATGTCAACATAGTTATTGACGTTTCACAGCACAGAAAATGGACTATTAAAATAAATACTACTGCACTAGCAACTGTTTTCCTTTCAAGGAATCTATCCTCTAAGAATCCGAGGTTCTAGATTTAGGATCTGTCTTATTCCAAAAACACTTTAAAACTGTGGTATGATTTCGGCCTTTTAAGTTTCAGGTTGGTCATGTCAAATGTTTCTTTTTAGAAAAAGCAGTTTTAAAAACATCTTTTCTCTCCTTCTCCACAAATCCCAATATTTTCTCCTTGTATTTAAGAGAATCAAAGAGAACAGACACATGCTCTCAGATTTAACAGAGACGAATTTAAAGTATCAAGAGTCTATGGTATAGACTTTAACTTCTTTAGAATCACCTGTGCCTCACCAACAGGGAGAACGTTCTTCAACGACGGACATGTCGGCATTGTGCAGTATGGGAGCAACCAGCCAATGTGGCCATTTGAGCATTCGAAACGGAGCTGGTGTGACTGAGGAAGTGAATTTTAAGTTTAATTCCTTTAAATTCAAATAGCCGTATATGGCTAGCGGCTACCCTATTGGACAGTGCATGTCTGAAAGGTTCTTCACGTATACAGTCACGTGCCACATGACATTTCAGTCAACCATTTGACCACACATGTGATGGTGATCCCATAACATTAGTACCATACAGCCTAGGGGTGTAGTGGGCTACACCACCTAGGTTTGTGTAAGTGCACTCTGTGATGTTCACACATCAAAACTGCTAACGATGCGTTTCTCAGAACACATCCCCGTCGCCAAGCAACGCATGACTGCACAACAGAGTATTTCTGCCAACCCTTCTTTAAAACGAACACACATATGACAGTTAGTACCAGCCAAGACTCCCTATGTTTGATACTGTGAATTTAACAGATTGGAAAGTATTATTTAGACATATAAACAGATATGTATGTTAGTCTAAACCAAACCAAAAAAAAAAAAAAAAAAAAACCCCACAAAAATATTACCTTTTCTCCATGCTTTACAGTATGAAGAGGAAGCTGACCAATAACCTTCTTAGTTTCTTTTCTATGGCTCTTAGGTAGGAAAAATATTATTATTATTATTATTGAAAATTTTAAGTGAGTATTTTTAAAAATTCACATGTTATTTTATAAGCAAGCTTATAGGAAAAATTTCACTTAAAAAGCAAAGTTAAGGGACTACAATGAAAATAACTGTAAAAAAAATTACCATATAAGTCTTAACATATAGGACAATCACATGTAACTTAAGAGCTTAAGAGTACTTATTTTCAATTCTTGATTCAATATCTGAAGAAGAAACCAATTCTTATGTCTGAATATTGGCAAGAAAGTAGTAAGCTGGGGATGAGGGTCCCATATATTCATCTACTAATATCCCTAAAAGGAAAGAGGCTTGCTAGTCGTTAGGTGGAAGACGACCCAGAAATGACTATCCACTGCCCACAGAGTCAGGAAGGGCTACTTTTCAAGACGGCAGAGGTTAAGCGTGAAATTCAAAAGGCCTGCCTGCCAAGCCTCTGGCTCTTCAACTGCCCTCTCCTTTGCTGGTACTGAGACAGTCCCTCTGCAGACAGATGGCTTTGAAAGCCGCTCCACAGGCAGAAAGGAAGCCCCTCCCACTCTGCGCCTCGCCTTCAGGCCAGGTGCTCTTTTTAAACACGGAACCAGTTCCCTTCTCCCTCATGCCTTTCTGTCATTCCTGTGTGTCCGGAAAAGGACAGAAAGGGTATCTGCAGGAGCAAAACATACAAAACGTGACCTGGATTTAAAGGTATCGAATCTACCGCAGAACAGAAAATGTAATATATTCAAATTAAAAAGTTATTTTCAAAAAAATCATATTAATACTTAAATATTATGAGTGAAAATGAAATTAAGCATACGGTCCCAAAAAAACAATATGGTCCAATATAACTTTAAGCAATATATATGGGAAATATTTATGAACTATCTTTTAAAAAGCAAAGTTAAAAAGAGTTATCTGTAATTACCTGACTTCCAAACTGTGAGCCAGTATATAGGAAACGCTGTATATAGTAAAATATCAGCCAGGCTAATGAGATGATCATCATGGTGATGAAGGCGATGGCCACAAACACCACAGACTGACCACCGATGAACTCCTGTACATGACGGGTGCCGACCCCTATGGTCACTTTGACTGGAATTCCTTTTTGCACCAGATCCAATAATTCTCTTCCTTTTGGGTAGCTAACCATAATGACCACTATATTTCCTGTTCCTGTAGGAAAGGACAAATAAATCAGTATAAAGAACACAAAATAAGATGCAGAGAAAGTTATGAAAATTGAGTACTATGGCTTGCCCATGCATATACATCTAAAAACTTTGATAAAATGGGATAATTTTCAAATAAAACGTAAGTTACCAAAACTGGTCCCAAAAGAGAAAACAGACTGATTATATTAGAAGTAGAATAAATCACTGAGAACTTACCCCCCACCCCCCACAAAGCAAGAGCCTCATTCAGTTTCACAGGTGAATTCTACCAACAAACCTTTAAGGAACAAATACCAATGATATTTAAATTGTTCCATAGCAGATTAAAAAAAATAAATTTTAAAATTACTTCTGAGATAATGAAACCAAACATGGTAATTAAAAACAAAAGAATCATACAGATCAATTTCATTTATGAATATTAATACATAATACCTAAAGTGTGCCCAGTAAACTCAGGGAGGAAATCTGAGAATTTCTACTATGATCACTATTATTTAACGTTGGTCTGAAGGCATGAGCAGACATAAGACAAAAAAATAAGAGAAATAGAAAAGAAGGGGTAAAATAATCAATTTTACATGAATCTACCTATAAATTAATGCATAAAATATCAATACGATTTTAAAAACCTTAAAAATGCTGCTTCTAAGGTTCACTTAGGGGAAAAACAACGAAAATGATCAGGAAAGCTTTTTAAACAGTAAAACCTGGATTATAAAGTTAAAGTAATTAAAACAGTGTGATAGTAACATATGAAGATGACCAGTATAACAGGGCAGAATAAAAAGTCCGGAAACTAGACCCAAAGATATAAAAGAATTGAGTACAGTCACGTGCTGCATTATGACGTTTCGGTCAATGACAGACCACATACACAATGTAGTCCCACGAGGTTAGGACCTGATAGCCGAGGTGTGTAGGGGCTATACCATCTAGGATGCTGTAAGGACACTCTGTGATGTTTGCACAACAAAAATCACCTAACGATGCATTTCTCAGAACGTTGTTAAACGACGCATGACTGTAAGTCATAAAAATGGAATTTCAAATCAATGGGGTAAAATGGATTATTAAAAAAAATAGTGTGGGAGCAACTGGGTATCATCTGAGGGCAAAAAAGCTACAGCCCTTCCTCACAACTTATGCCAAAATAAATTCCAACCAAATCAAAGATTTAAATATATAAAAAAGAGAAAACATAAAAGAGCCAGAAAAAATACGAGAATTAAAATTGGAGAAAAACCTTTCCAAGCATGAAAAACCATCTCCGAGTTTCTTTAAAAAAAAAAAAAAAAAAAAAAAAAAGGATTGGACCAACCATATAAAAACAAAATTTTCTGCATTGACTAAAAGAGAGCAAAATCAAGCAATTGAGATCTATAGAGCAAATGGCTAGCTGGGGAAAAATACATGAAACACAACAAAGACAAAAAAACGTTTCCTATAAGAAAAAGAGCCACAGAAAAACAAAGGAAATGAAGTCAGTGTGTAGAAAAGAAAATATAAGTGGGTTTTTAAAAAAATGGCAGCTTTAGTGAGGTATAATCCACACGCCATAAAATCTATCTTTTTAAAGCGAACAATTCAGTGGATTTTAGTATATTCACCAAGGCTGTGCAACCATCATAACTATCTAATTCCATAACATTTTCATCATCCCCAAAAGAAATCCTGTATACCTTAGTGGTCACTCTCCAACAGATGGATTTTAAACATATGAAAAATCATGATATAAATGAAAATATTATACCTATAAGATTGGCAAAGATCAAAAAGTTTAATACACTATATTGGCAAGAGTGTGCAAAAATGTGCACACTGTTGGGGGAGTGAATTATTACAACGCGGTATGGAGGGCAATGGCTATTGAAATTTTTTTTTTTTCCCCCAGTGAGGAAGATTGTCCCTGAGCTAACGTATGTGCTTCCTCTATTTTGTATGTGGGATGCCACCGCAGCATGGCTTGACAAGTGGTGTGTAGGTGTGCACCTGGGATCTGAACCCATGAACCCTGGGCCGCCGAAGTGAACTAAACCACTAAGCCACTGGGCCGGCCACTCAAAAAATTTTTAAATGCTCGTGTCTCTCTGATGCAGCAATTCCGCATTCAAGAACTTAATTGCACAGATATACTTAGATATGTGGGGTATCTATGAAAATACTTATTGCCAGTGTTTTTTCCGTTTTTTTCACAATCTAAATGTCCATCAATAAGAAAATAGTTACATAAATTACAGTATGTGTACACAGATTGAGGCAGCAGCTCTGTTAATACTCATAGTACTCATAATAGGAGAGAAAAAAGCAACATGTAAAAGCGTGGAAAAAAGATCTATATGGTCTTGTCAGTATAGACAACTCTGGAAGGCTACCCCGGAGCCTGGGGACCCTGAACAACTCTGGAAGAGGGCTTGGGCACACAGTAAAAATTCTGTACCATGTGCACATATGACTTATTCAAAAACCAACTTTAAAAACACATATAAAGAACGTTCCCTGGGGGGCTGGCCCGGTGGTGTAAGCAGTTAAGTGTGCGCGCCCCGCTGCGGAGGCCCGGGGTTCGCAGGTTCGGATCCCAGGCATGCACCAACGCACCGCTTGTCAAGCCATGTTGTGACGGCATCCCATATAAAGTGGAGGAAGATAGGCACGGATGTTAGCCCAGGGCCAGTCTTCCTCAGCAAAAAGAGGAGGATTGGCAGATGTTAGCTCAGGGTCGATCCTCCTCACACACACACAAAAAAAGAATGTTCCCTGGCATTATACTGAAGCCACATTATAACATTATTTTACTGTATAAAGTTAATCTGTAGGAAACCCACTGTGGCCCTCAGTCATCAGGATTCAGTTACTGAAACACCAGAAGGGCACCCTTCTAAGGTGGCTCCTGTGTGGAGGCTGATCCTATGACCAGGGCCTAAAAGCGTCACTTAGCAAGAGCCGTAGTTGTCTCAGAACTCACACAATCACCATGTCATCCCTGGGGAGACACAATAAGGAGTAAGGCATTTCTTGCCTTCAGGAAAATAAGCGTCTAGTAGCTAAGAAGACAGGTACAGAAACAATTATGGTAGTTATACCACTTATAATTATATGGCACTTCACAAGCTGAAAGCATAAACCTCCTTTCGTGGAAATTTTCAAGCACATACTAAAGTAGAAAGAATAGTACAGTAGAAAGAATCCCATGTATCTGTCTCAGTTAAAAACTTTATACAGAAAACAAAACTGTTTCTATGCCATGCTTACAGCTCCATACAATTTCTGGTACTGATATAATGTTCCTTGCGTGATAACAGGGAAAAACAACTTTGAAGCCCTTTCACATTTATATCTCATTTGAAGCAGAAAGAGGCCACGCATTATCGGTTTACACATGAAGGCTCAGAAATCTAAAGAGAGTTGCTCAATATCATACACCACCTGGAACAGCTAGTTCCAGGGTCAGAAGACCCAGCTCCTTCACAGTATCCCTGCCCTGCGCCCTTGTTGTGGGGGGACACAGGCTTCAAAGCCACAGACTGGGTTCAAATGTCACTCTTCCCCACTGTCTGGGTCCTCTCTGAGATTATCTCTTCAGCTGTAAGATGGAGGTGAGAATTCTTCTATTTTGGACTGTTGCTTATTTAATAAGAGAGTGGAGGAACAAAGAACTGCAGAAATGAAGTGACAATTTTGTCTGGGGTGGGAGGGAACTCTTTCCTTGGGAGTACATTTGAGCTACACCTTGAAGGACAGGAAGAGTTCACCAAGCAAAGGAGGGAAGTTTTCTAGGCTGTGAAACCATCATAAAAACATATTTGGGATGGTGACTGGTCCAGCTGGGTTAGTGACTAAAATATACGTAAAGGTATCTTGTCTATTTTATCCCCAGTGCCTCACATAGGAGCTGGCACACAGTAAGTGTTTAGTAAATACTTGCTAAATAAATGAATGAATGAGTGAGAGGTGGAAGATGAACTGGTACTAGAGAGGTTCTTGAATACCTAAAAAAAAATCTCAAGGGGGGTGGCCACTGACACACGATGATTATCAGAAGGATATCCTGAACTGAAAACACCTGTGATATCAATCTGAAATTTTCCACCTAGGAAATTAACCTTAGTTCACTGAGTTAACATTAATCATTAAAAAGAAATACTGTGCCTAGGATGAGGGCTAAACCATTTGCTATAGCACTATAATTATAAAAGCAAGACTGCTTCCAGGAACTACTTTAATAAAACTCAGAATAAAGACTCATTCTATTCCTGTGATTTGCTTTTCTGGGCCATTTTTTGGGATGTACTGGAGGCAGGGCAGTGGAATAAAAACACCCTAGCTCAGGGTCACTGCGTGCACAACCCCAAGGGGTGCCAGGCACGGGCGCTGGGTCTGGCCCTGCCCTTACCTCCCGATGCACCCTGTCTCCCTGGGCCAACCTGAGTGCCTCAGTGGCACAGGAGAGCAAATCACAGCTTATTTCCAAACTAGACAGCGAATTTCTTCACGGAAGGCACAGACACTCCAAGATTCAGGATAGCGTAGAAAAAGCCCTTAGAATTTTTTTTCTTCCGAAGGCCTTAACTTTGCTACCAATCATGCTTGATTAAAGGTCATCTTGCCCAACCCCCACTTCTCCTCAAGAGAACCTGTACACCTCACCCTTAGACAGGAAAACTCCTGGAAGGTAGTTTGTTTTATTTTTGTCTTACAATTAGCAAAAGATCTTTGCACATAGTATGTGATGATCATAAACCTATCTGTTAAATAATAATAAATACGAAATACAGTATTTTTTATCAAGGCAAATTATCCATAATAAAAAATTCTTCTGTGCCAAAAATAAAACAGTGTGTATTTCTGTTTCCTTTCAAATTTGTGTTCCTTTCTTACCACCTTGTCAAAAACTAAAACATGTAAAAAATTCTGTCTTGGTCAACAGCTTCAAAATTCTGAAGGGTTCCATTTGAGTCTAGTATACCACTTCTCTCAGAGAAACTATTTAAAGTAGTATTTCAACATTCTCCTGAAGTAGATGAGAGCTACTGAAATATTTAAAGTAGTGGATTAGATTTCTGTTCTAGAAAACTAATTCAGGAGGCAAGAAATACATTTTCAAGTTGCAGTTAAAATAATCCCATGAACTGTGAGGTTTTCTTTTTTCCAATAACTTAACTTCCATACCTTTTTTCTCCTAACCTGGAGAACTCCTGGTCAAATCTTGAAGATTCAGCACAAACTCAACTGAAGGCTTCTCAGCACCAGCCCCACCCAGCTTTTGTGTATGCCATGCACCAATGCCTCTTAGATGACTGACTATAATTTCTTTACAGGTCTCTCTCCCTCACTAGACGAGTACTTCCTGCTCTTATTTATTAGTTTTTGTAGCCCAGCATCATGCGTGATGGCCTATGGAAGAGTTTCCGCATGAAAGAATCAATGTGAAAAATTGGCTTATCTTCTAGTATTATTGTTGAAATGACCCAATAAGGAGAATGTCACAGACTCCTTTGCAGGGGAAATAGTACACCAAATATGAATGTCAGTGTCTTCGAAATTTGAAGCTATTATGCAAAACAGAAATGTGTTTATAGTTGGCTTGGGCGAGTTAGGAGGACCCCAAAATAAAGGTGATTCTCTTCTTGGAATTTTAAACTATGTTTTGGATAATTTGGCTTGCTCAAAAATATTTTGTATTTGTTGACTATACCACTCAACAAGCTTACTGAGAACTCTTTGCAGTTTTCCTAAATGCACTACTTTATCTCAGGCCTTCAGACTTTTGCAATGCTATCCCTGCCACCAAGAATGTCCTAGAACTCACCCGCCCCTATGGCACACCACACACACCCAGAGACACCTTCTCCATCAACTTAACTTGTCCTTCAAAACTCAATCTTTTTGGGAACAGTCCTGATTAATCCCACTCTCTGTGAGGCTATGAGGTGCCCTTCCTAGAGCACCAAAATACATTCTAAATTCAAATCTAAATTTTTAGACCATTTGTGAGTGCAGCATTAAAGATCATCAAGTTATCCATCATAAAAGCCTATTTACCATGCTCTGCAAATACAAAATGCACCTCTCTCTCAAGGTCGGGGACTTCTTAAGCACCTCTGTAATCTCCCTCCACCCCAACTCCGGCCCCTTCCCCAGACACAGCTCTAAGCCCTGCCAGTACTTGGCACTTGGTCAACACCTGTTCACAGAATGAAAGTGCCATTTGAAACAGCCAGGCCAAGACTTCAGCTCAAGGATCATCCCGTTTATTAACCAACAATAGCCACACCAAGGCCAATACCCTATAAAAGCTTTCTTTTCAATGATCTGACTTGTATCAATTTTACCCATCTTGGTCAAACTAATTTCTATGCAGTCATCTTTGCAAATAATTCCCTCTGAGGCCCCAACCATATCTGCAAAGTTCTGTTTATCACTCTCAAAGGCAGGGGTGTGTCTCATGCATTTCTATCCGTGAGCGGGCACAACATGTGGCCGGGAGTGGCTGCTCTACCCGTCTGCTCAAGTCAAGGGAATCAACTTTAGGCATTAGAGTAACAGTCCTTACAGGTGTTCTGATAGAATATTATCTTAAAGGCACAATTTATTTAAGAACCACAATAAAATACTGATTTAAATCCAAACTATCTTGTACGGGATTCTAGTAGAGTCAAGCAACGGGTTTAAGAAAAATTGGAGAAATTCTCCCTGAGACTTGGGAAGAGACTATCATGACTGGATTTTACAAATAGCCACCTCTACCTATTTTGTTGAACACCAGTGTTACACAGGAACAGTGAGACCCACTGAATTAGCGCTTTTTACTGGTTCTAGCCACATTCTGACAAAATACAAGAAACCTAACTTTGAGCTGCCTGCAAAGTTCTGTGTAACATTTCAAATTCAGGTATGTCAAAGGTGGTTCCTCTTCTGACTAAACTCCAATCATTCCATGCTTAATTCTATTCCATTTTCAGAAGGTCATGATACATCTGTACCCTCGGCCCCAATCAGGCAAGGTTCTGTGAGGGTCATTCTTCTCCATTTCTACAGTCACCACTATAGTATTGGCCCTTATATTTCTACTTGGACTAGTCCAACAGTCTAGGTGGATTCTGTTTCCAGTTTTTTCCTCTGTTTAATCCATTAGCCACACTGCTACCAAATTAATCTCCCTTTACGTCATGGTTCAAAACATTGGATAATTCTGTCATCCCCTCTCCCCCTGGACATTTAGCAACATCTGAAGACATTTTGGGTTGTCACAACTGGGGGAGTGCTACAGGAATCCAGCGGGTAAAGGCCAGGGATACTGCTAAACATCCTGTAATGCACAGGACAGCCCCTCCCACAACAAAGAATGATCTGGCCATAGATTACCTCCTTGTTACCATGGGCCAGTCATTTAAATTCTTTGAGCATCAGTTTCCTTATCTGTAAAATGGGGTTAAAGTGCATACCTTAGAGGGCTGTCCAGAGGATTATGTGAGCTGCTGTATGGAGAATACTGAGCACAGTGCCTATGCACTGGGTACTTTCACATTTTTAAAAAACTGCTAATTCTGTTACTTTTGTCTGTTTTCTCAAACAGAATGATTCTCATGGTAAAAAGGCTAGAATGGACACTGATAATGGAAACAGAACCTCATGAGAAGAGGATTTAAAATAAACATCAATGAGGTGTTTTTCTAGGCCTGGATAAATTCTATGTCAATAATATAAGCAAGGTTGCTGAACCATGGATAGAACAAGTGCTATTAGCCTGGAAAGACGTTAATGTCATCAGCAAAAAATGCAGTAAACAGATTAAGAAAATTGGAAACTGATGAGCCTGCCATTGAAAAGAAAAGGTCTACGTTAAGATATTGTAGACTCAGAACTGATTGCAAGGACCCAGAATCAGAGAATTCTTACACACTAACCTTTCCTTGTCAGAACCACTAAAGTTGGGGAGCACTGTCAACAGGATGTACCTGGAATGCGCAATGTGAAACCTGACAGGCCTTCTCATGACAGTCTTGTGGAAACATGGGTTGGGTACAAGGACAATTAGGTAGACCTGTAATCACTGGAATAACTGCACCCAAGGTGATGCCTCGCCCAATGCCACCACAAAGACATCTGCTCTCATTTCCTCTCCAAGCCCAATTCCTTTCTGTTGCAACTGAGGAATTTTCCCTCTACTCTCTGAGGCCAACCTCTCCACAAGCATCCAGGACACAGCCTTCCCATCTTCTCAAAGACCTGACTCTTTCAGTTACCTCTTCTCTATCGTTGATCTCTACTAGATCACTCCCATCCAACTTCACATATGCCTTACCATGTCTATCCTACCCTCCCCCACCCTACAGCTGCTGCCCATTTCTCAGCACCTCCCCAACCCTCACAGTCAACCTTCTCGAAAGAGTTGTTCTAACAATCTGTTCTAACAATCGTCACTTCCTCACCTCTCGACTTCCGTTCCCATCACTCTGCTAAAACTGGCCAAATCCAAAGTCACTTTTCTGTCCTCATTTTATTGTTAGGTTCTGAACTTGCATTCAAAAAAGACAAAACAGAATGAAAAACAAAAGTAGAGGAAAAAGGATGTCTGACTTGCAGCAGCAGAAACTTGAAAAAGATTTTAGTCACAGTAAGTTCAGAATGAGTCTTGATCTAAGAAGGCATAACAGAAGTATGTTCGCTCTGCTGTGTACTGGTCCTGCAGCACTCGGAATTCAGTTCTGAGGATAATGTCTTGCAAAATAAGACTTTTAAACTATCGTTACCGCTTGAAAATGCAACCTGTTGCCCTGGGGAAACGTCTGTGTGTAGGAAGGATGGCCTGGCAAAAAGCAAGATCTTTTCTTGAATGAACACAACTTTAAAAATTTCATCTAAACTCAAGCCTCAAGGAATCTGATTGCCAGTAGAGCCCTTATACTTAGCAAGAGAGAAAACATACCCCAACTTAAATCGAGATTTTCTGACCCAAAGTTTAGAATGCAGACATGGTTCATGAAAGTAAAGAAACCGGCGTGCCACCAAGCCAGGACATTACGTTGGTGAAGGGACAGCCAGACCGTGGAGTGCGCTGGGAAAGAGCTTCAATTCCTACCCCACCTGACTTTGGGAAACGCTGAATTTTGGAAAGGGCCCATGATTAGGAATCATGAGACTACCCATCGGTTAGAACCACAGTCCTCCTTCCGTGGGTTTTAATTTCTTTCGTCTCCTCATCGCCCTCCTCCAGAGGGCACCTCCTTTCACCTGAACGAACCAGGGCGAAGACCCAATCCTGTCTGTAGGATTGCCTCCCTCTCCACGACACCCCCGGGGGTCACACCGAGCAAAGCTAGTCTTCCCTGACAGTTTCTGACGGCCACAGGCCGTCCAAGCCGCGCTCCCGGGCCACCTCGCTGCCCGCCCCTTGGGATCAGGTCCGAGGACGAGAAGGCCGCGGGCCACGGCTGCGGCGCTGGGATGCCCCCGCCACAACCCCGCGCCCCCCGGCTCACCCGCGTGCGCCATGGGCGCGGTGAGGTTCCCGTAGCGCTCCTCGTTATAGAGAACCACGGCCGAGGCGTTCCTCCGCGCCGCCACCAACACCTTGTCCTTGAAGGTGCAGCCCCCGCGCGCCACCAGGGCGACCCAGGGCGCGGCCCCC